GCAAGCAAGCTTCTACAAGGATCCACAACATCCCCCCTTGCTAACAGAATATTATTCTCTAAATAAAAAGACTAACAAACCCTTATAACCCCCTAACAGAATTACAAAAGCTCAAACAGATTTACTAAAAGCAAATAAAATATCTTGGGCTGAAAAACGCATCTTCCTCACTTGATTTGTTGGCGCTTCTTCCTAGCATAAGTCACCAGAATTGGAGGCTTGGGCTGATTGGGCTGATTCCTTGCATAGAGACGGATATGAAAATCCGTTACTTAACTAGAGACGGATTTTAAATTCCGTCTTTAATATTTCTTTCACTTATTATCAATTATGTGCGTACAAGTAAACAAATAGTATTTGGTATAGTTGGTAAGAGTTTCACTATGTGACTTTGAGATCACGGGTTCGACTCCTACCTATTGCGGTTCTTGAGATTAGGGATTCAAGGAGCCTTACATGCAAAGCCGAGTCGAGTTGGCCTAAGTGAGGTCGAACCGAATAGCATATATTTTTAGCACAAAATTATTTTTTCCATTTCTAAATTTAGAGACACATTTTTTTTTCCCGTTGCTTATGTGAGCGATGGATTTTTTTTTTTCCGTTGCTAAATTTAGAGACGGATTTTTTTTTCTGTTGCTAATACCAGCGATAGATTAATATAATCCGTTGCTAAAACCAGTGACCGAAATAAAAATCCGTTAGTTCAGCAACGGAAAACAAATACAACGTCGCTAGTCTCATTTAGGGACAAGAGTTTTGCCAACGGAGTAATTCCGTTTCAAAATCTGTCGCTACTTATATTTAGCGACAGAAAAGTACAATCTAGCAACGGATTTGATCTGTTGCTAAATGTCTATTTTTTTGTAGTGATTAGTGAACATGAAAAAGATGAACTATACCTTAAAATCCCTATTGTCGTATACATTTTCGGTTGTGTTGATAAAAGAATACTACTCCCTCCGCCCACAATTATCTGCAACATTTGTCATAAATGGGTGCTCTCTATTATGTGCAACAAATTTTTTTTTCTTTCCTCTTTTAGTAAATTTTAAAGAGTAAAAAGACCACCTTACCCTTACTTTTATTTTTTAACTTTGTTTAACATCTTTTAATTACACTCAATTTTCCACCTTTTTCCCACTCATAAAAGGGGCCCCTCAATTTCACCTTTTTCCCACTCACTTTAACCCACCCAAAAACAAAAAAAAATAAGGGGCCACTTCTTTCCCTCATTTTTCCCACTTTAATTAAACTCCATTAAAAGTTTGCTTAGGAGTCCGCAAAAAGGACGTTTGGTGCAGATAATCGTGGGCGGAGGGAGTACTTCAAATTCCAATTTTTTGTGATACTATCAAGGAAAAAAAAATTGCTTTTTTTTTTGGTGTGATCTTGAAATTAGGTTTCTTATGAGCGACTTTACGTATATCTATATATAGTTTTTAAATTTTCCACTAAAAAAAACCAAAAAATAAATTTAAATAAACCCAAAAATTAGAAAAAAAAAAGTGAACCAAATCGGTTCAAAGGAAAATAAGAAATAAATAATTTTCTTCCAAGTCAACATTTAGCTAGTTTTGAAATTAAAATTTGTAACTAGCCGTTTGAGTAAATATTTTTATAAAATTAGCCATTTTGATAAAAGATTCCAAGTATTACCCCCCTATGGAAGGAATCAATGTATGAATCCAACTCTAAAGGTATTACTTTTAAATACATCATTTCTAAAATATTATTTCACAAATAAGTACTCCAATAGTCCTATAAATGAAAGGGTACTATCATCACTGAGAGCTCCAGTAGAATACATTCCAAGCTCCCTTCCATCATGGTAGATAAGTTCTAGGTACAAAAGCTACAATTTATACTACTCCCTTTGCCCGTGAATATCTGCAACATTTGCCAAAAACGGATGCTTTTATTATCTGCAATAAATTTTTTTATTTCCTTTTTGGGTAATATTTAACTATTAATTACCCACTTTTTGGTTAATGGTCCCCTCCACCACCTATTACCCACTACCTAAAACCCACTATAAATATTTGTGTTCACACTACAAATACCAAATATACCTTTTTATTTTTCAACACTTAAATGTTTAGTTTATATATATCATCATATGGGTAATTTTGTATTTTTACCTTTTTCTCTCATTAATTAAACCCACCAAAACTCAATTAACACTCTCCTAAAAGTTTTTCCTAGGATTCCGAAAATATGTCCTTTATTGCAGATATTCACGGGCAAAGGGAGTATAATTTTTATAGCTCCACTCATTGATGAACTAATCCAATTGAAATCTATAATCCAATAGATAGAAACACAGAGAAGCAAAGAACAATACCCCATCGTAATCTGAACCATTTTTTCACCCAAGACATCACATGTCCACCACTCCACCCGTCTCCAACATGACAGTTGGAAACTAATCAACAAAATCTTCGGGATTCAATTGAAAATACGAATTACTCAGTAATATCTTTGATTAGAGTAGTAGCACACATTAATGCAACATGCATTACAACTAAAATAAAGTGAATATATTACTTTTGTTTCAATTTCTTAAACATCTTAAACAAATTTACCAACTTGCAGAATACGCATTACAAAGTCAAGCAAAAAAAAACAATACTTTACAGCAATATGATACCAGAAAACACATCATGCAGGAGAGTTCAAAGTAAGAGGAGAGAGTTGGAGGTCTAGAATCAAACACTGCCATTTTTACCAATAAAAGCTCTGGTGAAACTCTCAACTGTCTCAAGTGTGGACACTCAAGATACGTAGCATGCACCTTCTCCACGTGGCGCATCGCATTGGTCGCTTTCCCATTAATTTCCTTAACAATATTGTTTATTCACATGCATATATATACAAAAATAACTTAAAACAAATAAATCAGGGATACACAAACTAGTTTAAACTAAATTGCTTTCAAATTCAGCAAGACAAACTAGTTCAAACGTGTTTCATACGCCGACAACGACAACGATGACGGAACCTCCGCTTCCGACCGTTCGGGTTCAGCTAGTTCCCAATCTATTCAACTAGCTGATGACCTTGAACGCGAAGACGAAGAAGAAGAATAGATGAAGAACTATAAATAGATTACATACTTCTAATTATAGATAATTTTTGTATAATATCCTTGTAAGAAATCATTATCATTGTACAATTTTTATCATTATTACTTATTCGATTAATATCAAACATTTATACTTGAGTTTTTTTTTTTTTTTTTGAAATTTATATATTCCAACGTTAAGAAGTATGTATTTATTTGTAATATTTCAAGTAATAATAATATGAAGTATGCATTAATCACATTCAAAGAATCAAAGTCCAATTTCCTCATTTTTTTAGCCGTTAAGATTTGAAATTTTCATCTTCGCCGTTAAGAAAATAAAAAGTAATATAAACAAAATAAGTTAATAACTAATTAACTATAATAAATAAAAAGTATAATAAATTATAACTATAATAAATATAAATTATAATAAAGTATAACTATTAAAAATAATTATAACTATAATAAATATAAATTATAATAATAAGAAGTAATAACAAGTATAATAATAAATTATAATAACAAGTATAATAATTAAATAAATAAATTATAATATTAATAAGTAATAACAAGTATAATAATAAACTTAATTATAAATTATAATAAGAAGAAGTAATATTAATAAGTAATAACAAGTATAAAAATAATAAATTATAATAACAAGTATAATAATTAAATAAATAAATTATAATAATAACAATTATAATAAAAAAAATAATAATAAACTTAATTAATTAATTTATAATAATAAGAAGTAAACTTAATTAGTTAATTATAAAAACATAATGTATTGCTTTTTTTAATAATAAAAAAAAATTAAGAACGTGCCAGGCACGTGGGCTGTGCCGTGCCGTGCAGTGGGCTGGCCTGGTGGAAATAGAGGCACGGAACGGCACGCCGAGACCGTGCTGGCGTGCTGCCCACCTTTATTCCCGAGTGAACCAAACAACACCTTAAAGTTGCGGTATGACCTACGACGCTGAATTTCATACTTTTGCATCATTGACTATTCTAGTGCTAGTAAATTAAAGGTGCCACATAAATACTAATTAAGGCTAATTGTTTAACTAATGTAGTAATGTATGATAGTACTAAGTTCATTTCAAGAGAATATGCTTGAAGTCTAGTCTATTTTTTTTTGATGTTTTTGATCCCACTTAAAGATGATCTATGTAATATAGCTTCAAAGTAGATTATCAAAAAAAAAAAAAAAAAAAAAAAAAAAGCTTCAAAGTTAATAGGTAAAGGTTTTCTTTTGAAAACATAAAGTAATGCATTGCAAGAAGTTGTATATTATGTATCATAATACTATAATTAATGACATGCACACATATATAATATTGCCTTACATGTTTTTCTTTATTATGCATATTGATTCCATTGTAAGTATCTAATAAATTAAATTAAGAGAATAATTGTCTATTAGGAATGAAAATGCCATAATTATTTTTTTTAATTGTTTTTGAATGAAACAATCAGGGAGAATGATTAATATATAAGGCTGATGAGATATTTCACCCATCACCTTATTTATTGGCTTGGTTTTCTGATGGAACCCTGTTGAGCATATATATTATCAAACTCTCTCTTTTCAAAATGCAATTTGCTTGTGTATGACTTAATGTAGCTTTATCATGGTATAATTGGTATTAAAGCACATAATTCTGAATCCTGATTTGATTCGAAGAACACAAAATAGAAAAATTTCATAACGATTCAACAACAGAATTTTAAGCGTGTTTGTTTATTGTTGAATATTTGTCCATCAATTTTGTTAAAGTTTCATTTTCTTATTTATGGAAAATATCATGTCCTTTCCACTTAAATAGTTTTATTTTTCTAATTTTTAACTTCTTAACAACTTTCTCTTTTAGATCAATTGAACAACTATCATTATTGCTTGAAAAAAATGACAAATAAAAAGATATTGTGCAAATTTTTGATATTTAACCAAGCTTTTTATAAAGTAACACATTGAACAAAGGACAAATTTCAAATTAATCATCCAACACAAAATACACTTTAAAATTAAAAAAACATAATGATGATTATTTTGTTGGTGAAATCCTTAATATATCCCCTTTTTGCCTGTCATTACAAAGAGTAAATGAAAGTACTTATATCCACTATCAATATAATACTTGCTATCAAATTCAAAGTATAGCCTTTACAAAAGTTGTAACTGTGCTCTCTTATTGAGACTTTCTATACTATACCATAGTAATTGTTACTATACCACTAGAATGCAGAGCCTAGTAGCCTACACACCTTGTAGATAAGGGTGTTCCAAAGCCATCTCAGCTGTAATCCTCTTGCTTGGGTCAACACTGAGTAATTGCTATATGCAAACAAAAAATTAAGCGACTTAAATTAGAAACTTATTAATACAAGTTTATAAATTGGCATTTATCTAGTATGCTTGGAAAGTATTTAAAATAATAAGTGACAAATTATTATACCAATATAAGATCCCTGCCTTCAAAATCCAATTCAGCACTAATTTCACCTTCAAGTTCCTTCAATCCAAACACAAAAGGTATAAGAATTGATAAACAAAACTTGAAAACTTGGTAACAACAAAATCAATATACCTTTTCAATGAATTGTGGCATATCAGTAGGATAGTTTGGGAGGGAACACACTCCAGCCCATGTTGCTTCAGTTGGGGTTCCCAACTTCCTGATGAAATACGTTAGGACATAAGTTAATAAATCATTTAAAATGCACCAAAACCTATAATGTACAACAAATTATAATATGAACATATTTACTTGAAAATTTGTTGGATGACGTGGAGCTCAGATTCGGAATGATCTTCAACAAGTGGCCTAGCCATCAAAAATTCATAGAAGAGACATCCTACCGACCATAAGTCCACTGCGGTTGTGTAGTTTACACTACCAAGTAAAATCTCTGGTGCTCTGTATTGGAGTGTCACTACCTATAAAATCAATGGGAAACAATTTTATTACAATAATGCTATTTCCCAACTAAACATTTCAAAAACCAAAATTACAATATAATACCAAAAATACAAACCTGTGGGGTATGTGAACCACCAACAAACTTTGAAGAACCAAAATCAGCAAGCTTGAGCTTCTTGAGCTGCTTTTCTCCAACTCCAATTTTTTGAACTAAAATATTTTCTGGCTTCACATCTCTATGTATGATGCCTTTTTTATGCAAATATGACAGTGCATCAAGAATTTGCTTCACATATTTCTACAAAAAAATAATTTATGTTAGACATTTTAATATGCTTTTTTTATAATTGATCAAACATAAATAAAGATAAAAATGATAAGAATAATACCTTTATCTCAGAAGGAGATTGATAAGCATTTGGGTTCGTCTCCAATTCACTTTGCAAATCGTATGGCACATATTCCTGTTGGGTTTGAGAGTGTGGAGAACGGTTTCAAGAAGGCTAAGGGGGTGCATAGCTTAGGAGATTAAGCTATGGGCTATTGCTTAGTGTAAAGCAATGGTGGATGTCAAAGGGCTGACTTCAAATGGGCATATCTCAAGATCTAGAAGTGATATTGAGATGATTCAAGTTGGAAGGGATAGCTCGTCTCAAGAGCTTTCCAACGCCTAGTCATAAGCTCGATTTGGTTAAGAATCGAGGGAGTTATGACTGTTTTAAGAAGAGTTGTCTGAGCAGTGCGGGAGTTCGACCGAACTTCTGAAAGGTTCGGTCGAACCTGTTGTAGATTTTCATTTGAAAAAGCTACTGACTCGAAGTTCGAACGAACCTCTGGAGGTTTGACCGAACCATCCTTGGTTCGGTCGAACATGGGGTAGGTTCGGTCGAACCTCGTGTATGCTCTGTTTTCTACGGTTTTGCGACTTAAGCGATGTGGCTTATTTAAGACCGTAGGATTGTTTTATTTAGCCTAGCACTATATATATTCATGTATTGTCATTGTAGAGTAGAATGAGATGAAGGGAAAGATGTAGAGATAGAGAGAGCCTCATGTAAACCCAAACACTTAGGGTTTAAGTGTTTGAGAGGGTGAGCTTGGGGTGGGAGCTTTAATGGTGATTGAAGCTTGTAATCTACATTGTTTTTCATCAAATTGTTACTCCATAGTGGATTGGTGGGTTTTTCTCCCGGTTCTCGGGTTTCCCACGGTAAATTCTCCTTGTCTTGTTTATTACTTGTTTTTCCGTCTTCATGGTTGTTAATTATCGTTAATCGCAAACTTAGCTAGCACATTCGTAATCCCTTTCAATTTAATACCAATTGTAAGGATTAAAGTGTTCAACTAACTTGCAATCAACCCACAATAGCAATGAACAAACAAGCATAACAATCAAAAACAACTTTGAAGGAATTAAAGCAAGTAAAAGGAAGACAATGTTACCGTGGGAAAACCCGAGAACCGGGAGAAAAAAACCCACCCTTGCACTATGGAGTAATATTGATGATGAATGAACTCAAGAATTACAAGCATGAATTGTATAGAATTCAAATGCTCCTCACAAACCCTCTCAAAACCTCTCTATGTGTTTAAATGTTTGTGAATACTCAACAAAGAGGCTTAGAAAAGGTATATATAGTCTAGGTAGAAAATACAATCCAACGGCTAAGATTAAAGCAAATCGCACAAGCCGAAAACGAAGCGACGAAATAGGGAGCGGGGAGGTTCGGCCGAACCTACCCAGAGTTCGGGCGAACCTAGGGTGGTTCGGTCGAACCTCCTTGGGTTTGGTCACTCCTCCTCTAGAAATGTAAACTGGTGCACCTACTGACTTAAAACCGGGTTCGACCGAACTTTTCACAGTTTGGTCGAACCTTAACAATAAGGCAGCTTCTATGCAATCTCCTTATGTCTCCATGTATTTATCTATCTCCACACTAATCCTAACAATTCCATCACTAAGTTTACACTACTTGGTGAAATAAAGATTTTTTCCAGCCTATTACCACCAATAAAATAGAATATCATAAGCTAACAATAAAATAGAATACATAAGCTAATGCAGAGAATGAACATTACAATGATTAGAGAGATAGAATTTCACCTAACAATATTTTCATGTTGGGTGTCCCTTAGAATAAACATTTCTCTGACCAAACTTTCAGTGATTTCATTATTCTGCAATGCAATCACCTTCATAGCAAATTGTTGTTGCTTCTCCACATCAGTAACTGTGAAGACTGCACCATAAGCTCCACTGTTTAGAAAATCTCCAATTTCGTACTGATTTCCATTAGTAGGAACTTCTTCAGCATGTTGTTGACCTATGAAACCTCCTTGTTTAATTTCCTTAAGTTCTTGTTTAATTTCTTCAAGTTTTTCCAAGATCAGTGATTCTATTTGTTCTTCCATCTACAATGAAAGAAAGAAGTATGAATAGCAGAGCAGAGAATGGGTTTGGGTGAGGAGAGATAACGTGTGGGTCCTAGTGAAAAGACTAGTCAGTTGTTTTGATAAAACAAGCAACTTTACTATTCAATTGGCACTAGTATAATTATTCACTGTATTTTTTAATAAAGATTTCAGATATTTGACCCTTTTTTTTTTTAGAAACAGGGAAATTAATTTATATTTAACGATAATCCAAGTACACAAAGCTAACCAAACATCAGGAACATACTTACAACAGTACCAATGCAAGCTCCCCAAAAGATTACACAACCAAAGAAGAAACTGATCTAAACTAGCCGAAATAAGACCAAAACTATGCATTACTAATGTAATGCATAGATATTTGATCCAACTGTAGAAAATAGGAGAACTAGGTAAGAAAAACACACCAAAACACGATAGGATGATCGAAAATCGATCGATTGATCAGAAAAAAACAAGCTCGCACAATCAATTAAAATATAAAGAACAGAAATCAAGTTTTCAAATATAGCTTGATCAAAATTTAATGCAAACTGTAGGAATATTGTGCAACAAATGGAAAAATTGTGCGATTACAAACAAAATTCAAATTACAATATCACACCTAGATGCATTACTTCAGATTTTGATGAACAATTGAAAATCGAGTAATTCAGAAGGTATAATTAACCCATTAAATCAAAAAACAGTAATCAATTTCTTAATATATATATAACCAAAATTCACATATTAAGCAGTAAAATTAATACCAAGAATTTGTTCTACAATATGACAAAATGAATGAACCAATAAATTAAACACCCACTTGATTTTCTCTCGTAATTCACCATTAATAAGCAATAAAGAATATTCAATCAACCCAGTATCGAAAATGCAGAAAATAATAGAGAGATTATCAAAGGAAAACAGCAAAATTGTAATAATAAGAGTAGAAAATGTCAAAATGAATGAACCAAGAAATTCAACACCCATTTAATTCTCTCTCACAATCCGCCATTAATAAGCAATAAAGAATGTATAATCAACCCAGAAAATCGAAAATGCAGAAAATAGTAGAGAGGTAATCAAAGAATTACAGCAAAATTGAAATAATAAGAGTAGAAAATGTCAAAATCTTACAGCAGAGTTGGTGGGCATAGATTCTTGATCATTGTTGTCATCGACTTTCTCCATCTTTATCTTCTTGCTTGCCTTTGAATTTACAATACTCAGAAAATTTTAGAACAAAGAATTTTTGTATTTCTTTTGTATTTTTTTGAGAGCAATAAATTGAAGTGGTTTATACTTTATATTACTGGTTCGCGCTCTTTTTTTTTTTTTTCTTTTTTTTTTTTAAATATACTACCTCCGTTTTTTTTTTATGTGCAACTTTCTATTTCTTTCTATTTTTAGTAAACAAAAACCCTAAAAATTACAAATTTACCCTTACTTAAAAATTCAAATTTTCTTAATGTTACCCTTATCTTATTTTAATCACAGTAACTTTTTTATCTAATCATAAATCATTAACCTAATTTTACCCACCCATTTACTCATCTCCTAGTCTATCCACCACCCATGCACCCTCTTCATCTCTGCTTCACCCTCTTCATCTCTTCATCTCTTTCACCTTCACCCTCTTCATCACCCTCCTCCCTCAAGAGTCACGACCACCGCCCCTCCCACCACCATTCTCTCTCCTCCTTCACAACCACCTTCCATCCCACCCCCTTTCTGCTCCCTATGACCACGACTTTCTGCTTCCTATGACCACCGGCTTTCTCTCTTCATCTTTTTTTTCGTTTTTTTTTTGGGTGATTTATGTTCGAATTTTCTTGGTTTTTTTTTCAATTTTCTAAGTTTCGAATTTTTGGGTTTTGATTTTGATTTCCTGAGTTTTGATTTTCTAGGTTTTGATTTTGTATTTCTGGGTTTTGATTACGGGGGTGGGTTAGGATTAAGGGGTGGTGGGTGGGTTAGGGTTAAGGGGTTTTCTACGGGTGGATTGCTAAACATCGCCCGCAAATCTCCACATAAAGCCCACAAAATTCACTTGATTTGACAATATTGCCCTTAACATATAAAAAAAAAAACACACTCACACTCTCATCACCAAACACTCATCTTCTTTCTACATCTCTCTTAAAAAAAAAATTCAAACTACGGCAATGTCAAGACGGCAAGGCAAAGAATTGGCGACGGCTGCGGCAGAGGGAAGGAGGGCTCACGGTGGCAAGGTATTTTTGTTGTCTTTAATTTAAAAAAAAACGGTCGTTATAGGCGGGGCGCTTGGCTAGGACGCCCAGCCCCTGGTGGTGGCGGTAGATCCGGCTGCCAGAACGACCGGGCTGGCGTCTGGGCTGGACGCCCAACCACGGTTGTGGCGTTTTTGTTAAGGCGCCAGCCCAGTAGTTCTGGCAGCCGGATCTAGCGCCACCACCGGGGGTTGGGCGTCCTGGCCAGGCGCCGCCCTTGTGGTAAATTTTTTTTTGTATGTATTTTTTTTTATATGTATAATATATTTTTTGTTTTTGGAAATTTATGTATTTTTATTTATATGTATAATATATTTTTTGTTTTTGGAAAATCAGAAAAAAAAATTTTATGTCTAATATATTTTTTTTTTATGTATAGTATTATTTTTTTATGTATAATATAATCAGAAATATTGTTTTGATAAAACAAGCAACTTTACTATTCAATTGGCACTAGTATAATTATTCACTGTATTTTTTAATAAAGATTTCAGATATTTGATCCTTTTTTTTTTAGAAACAGGGAAATTAATTTATATTAAACGATAATCCAAGTACACAAAGCTAACCAAACATCAGCAGGAACAAACTTACAACAGTACCAATGCAAGCTCCCCAAAAGATTACACAACCAAAGAAGAAATTGATCTAAACTAGCGGAAATAAGACCAAAACTATGCATTACATGCATTACTAATGTAATGGAAAAATTGTGCGATTACAAACAAAATTCAAACTACAATATCACACCTAGATGCATTACTTCAGATATTTGATGAACAGTTGAAAATTGCTCAATAGTTGCACAATTTTAGAATAATTAGGTCAAGAAACACGGTTGGATGATCGAAATGAAAAACGAGTTCGCATAATCGATTCAATAGCACTGAACAAAAATCAAGATTTTCAACAATCAACCATAGCTTCATCAAACACATTGCAAAATATAGGAACATTGTCATTGTAAGATTATTGAGAAAAACTGTGCGAATACTACATATCAGACATGCATTACTTCAGATAATTGATAAACAATAGAAAATCGCTCAATAGTTGCGCAATTTTAGGAGAACTAGGTCAAGAACACACAAAAACACGGTTGGATGAGCGAAAATCAATCGATTGATCAGTGAAAACGAGTTCTCACAATCGATTCAATAACACAAAACAGAAATCAAGATTTTCAACAATCAATTATAACATTGTCATTGTGCGATTATTGAGAAAAACTGTGTGAATACTACGAATTGGGGGAATTTAGAAATCAAACCATAAAAACTTCAAGAATTTGAAAATTAGACCTCAACGACGAAGATCCGACTGCAATCGCACCAAAAATCGTGAAGAAATTGCTCAAACCTCAGCCAAAACTGATGAAATCTGCATCAAATTGCAACGGAAGAGAGCATGGATTCAAAAACCAGCGATTTGCTGATGAGAAATGACAAACTAATTAGCATAAGAAGATAACGAGAGAGAGTACCTGCAACTGATGTGAAGTGCGTGTGAAGTGAGAGAAAGAGGAGGATGATGATTCGAATTTGATTTAATGTGATTTGCAATTAGCGCTAAAGAGTTTTTATAACGAAGTTTTTATATATTTATTTTTGGTGAGAAAGTGGGCCAAGCCCAGAAACAAAACACACAAACACACTACAGAAAAAAAAACGAAATTGAACAAAACAAAAGCAAAATTACCCGATTGGCAATTAGGGTGAGCACGGATAGGATATCCGATCCGAAATCCATTTTCGGATCGGATATCCGTATCCGAAATTAGGATATCTGATATCCGATATCCAATCTGAAAGCTTCGGATATCCGAAATTTTCGCATCAGATATTTCGGATATCCAGTATCCGATTCTTTTTATTAATAATTTCTAAATTCAAAAATAAAATTGAAAAAAGAAGAATAAAAATTGAGAATTGAATAAAATGAGAGAGAAAATTAGGATTAACAATCGGATCTACAACCAACCCAATCGGTGAAGGTAATAAAATCAGACTTGACGACGAATCATCATAAAAAGTAGTACAAGGATTAAACTCAGAAAACATAGATTCAAGCCAAGTAGACAGATCTAAAGGATTATAATGAACAGTTTCAGAAGCTAATTGAGAAAGACCATCTTCTCGAACATTTCTCATAGCTTGTTGTTCCACCATATCTGATGACCTGACCTTATACCCCAAAATGGCAAGCAACTCATTAACTCCGCAACTCATCAACTCCGGCAACTCATCAACCAGAACCCACCCCAACCACTTAACCCACAAACCTCCACAGATTGAACCTGAACTCACCCTCAATTACACCACCACCACACCTAAACCACCAACCACACCTTAGTTGCCAACACTATCACCCCCACCCCAGATGTGAACCACCTCCACCCAAACCCGAAATCGAAACCCCCTCTCACCCAGCCCCAAAATCGAAACCCCCTCTCACCCATACCCGAAATCAAAACCCCAACCCCAATTAGACCCGAAATCCCTCTCACCGTCACCAGAACCCAAACCTACACCCTAAGACCGAAACTCAAACCCGAACCCAAACTTGTTTTCTATGATTAAAATGATAAGGAGAAGTTCGGAGGTGGTGGTAGGTGGAAGCAGGCAGCTGGATGGGGAGTGAATTCCGACCTCCCACGCGGCGGCGGTGGTGGTGATGATGGAGATAGGAGGGGGCGAAGAGAGAAAGGAGAAGGAGAAGAAGAAGAGAAGAGGGGAAGAGAGAGAAAGAGAAGAAGAGAGGCGGGTGGGGGTATGGGGAAGTGGGGATTGAGGGTAGTTTTAGGGTTTGGCATATTTTATATGGGTGATTTTTTCGGATATTGGATCGGATATCCGATATCCAAAAAATCCAAAATTTGGATATCCGATCCGATATCCGAAAAATTCGGATCGGATATCCGATACGAAATCAAATTCGGATCGGATATTCATCGAATGCGGATCGGATCATCGGATTCTCGGATCTTCAAATAGTGTTGCTCAGCCCTATTGGCAATCCATGATTTTTTTGTAGGAAAAATTCAAGGAAGCCCAGGTTAATCTCGAAGATTAACAATCTAGTTTATCTCCTCTCACAATTTTATATTGTGAGAAGATATATTTCCAAATTTATCTCCGAGAGAAACTTGGATTTTCTCAAAAAATTCGTAATATTAATCGGACTAGATTAGTTTCCTTGCAACATAATTCATGATTTATTTTTTAGAAAAATTTGGTAATATTAATTTCAACTTTGTGTCATTTGTTTTTGGAAAAATTACCTGGAATAATCAGACCTTTGTCTCACCCACCCAAAAAAATCTCACCTTTTCGTATATTTTTAATTGTCCGACTTTTTAATGCCAAAATTCGCTTCAAATGGTCCCAAGTGACCTGTCACCGGTTAATTAGGTAATTTTTATTTTATTAAGTTTAATGCAATGTACAATGTCACCACGTGATTGGTAAAAAAGAAGATATAATTTTAAATTTTGTAAGAAATGATTATTACTAATTAACATTAATTAACTATTTTAAAACTAATTTTTTTTAAAATAATTAGAAATTAAAACCACTTATTAAAAAAAATTAAAACCACCACCACCAGCCATAGCCACCTCCCCGCCCCCACCATCGGCCTAGACCAGACCCAAAGCCGCCAACCTCGCCACGACCATACCCTAGCTCCCACACGTCGTTCGTCGACCCTCCCCTACCCCACTCCATCGCCTCTAAATGTAACACCCTAGAACTGTCTTTCCTTTAAAATACCTGTTTTGCCCTTTTTAAAATATGAAATAGAAAAATCTAAGATATTACTGCCACCGTGAAAACGGCTAAGGCAAGTATCAAAGACACACAACGGAAGACTATCTTTAAAACCATTTAAAAACAAGTCAACTTTAAAAGTCAAACCAAACGAAAGTAAAGTCAAACAAAGTCAAACTACAACTTGGAATCATTGTATGCCCTCAAAACCAAACAATACTGAAAATCTTTGCGTTAGTCTCATGAGCAATAAATAAAATAAATAATAATCAAAGCAATAGAACACATCATATTCCTATGGAAATTAAGCATGATTCGCTCTTCACTCATGCCCATCATGAATATGGTTCATCACCTGAAAAGCTCCTCTCTACTTGTCCCCACTACTCGCCATTAGAAATGGGTTATCGTATTGCCAAGGTAAAGACAAGGCCAAATAAACATACAACACACGATCAGTAATGCTGAGTACATAAGCGTAATAATAAAAACACACTAATATGCTTTCATCCTATCAACACACAACTTACCTTGTTGCACCTGTTTACAAGCATACAAGACATTCAACACTCAACTAGACAAATAACTAGTCTAATTATTTAGCTTGATTACGCATCAAACGGGTTTTCCCCCTAACCTACCCCAATAAAAGGGTACTAACACGGGAGCTAACCGTGCTAGTATAAAAGAACCACTTGTAAGTGGCGGAATTCCTGCGCATAATAAAAAAAAAAGGAATATACAGCGTCCTGTACTCCCAGTAGAAGTTATGGTTAAATATAAAACCCCATAACTCCCCCCATATGTTCATACTCAAGGTATATACGTTCCAAGAGTTTTGGTGCATAATCTCTTTCACTTTACGTTATTTACATATGAGACTTAGTGATAACTCTCAAACCATAATACAATCAATCATAACAAATCATTCAAGTAATCAAACACACCAATTTAATTATTGAATAATTAGTGACCACATAAATTTAGTGTTGAACCCTTTTTAAACTACCTCGGTGTCAAAGACACCTTAAACGCATAATGCGCCACAAATCCTATCCCTCGTTGTTAGAAACACCTTAAGTGCACATAGGCACCGCAATATAATTTAATCCTCGTGTACATAGACACTTAAGTAGCTCTTTCCTCATGCTTATAGCATTAATAAAAATTATATGAACCATAATAAAATTTTCTTTTCATATTCCAAACCAAATTAAACATTTAGTTTAATTAAACATGCTTTCTATCATGCCAATAATATAAGTGTGGTTCATAATCCAACATAATTAATTCCAATCACCAATTCAACTCAATAATTCATACTTTACAAATCAATCACCAAAACCAATCCAATCAACAATTTGAACCAATACCTATCATGATACTACCTTAGAATTAATTTATCAAAGCCTAGCATGTTTCTATACACTTAAATAATTAGCAAGTACGCGAACGTACCTTGAATATGATCTCAAAATCGCCACGACTAAATAAAATCACTCACTTGGAAGTCTCCTACAATACCAATACATAAACTCAATTATTCCCTTGATTACACAAATTTCCAGCAATATATACCCTCTTTAAATCACTCATAAACCCTTTAAAATAAGCTGAAATTTATTTTAAAACCCTTACTTTTATTCCCAATTAATGGGTACTTAAAAATCCTTTCAAGAAACATAATTATAGCTTATATATAAAAATTTCAGCATTATTAAATCATCTATAATTGTTGTAATTGTGTTTTAAAACACTTATTTCAATAATTTAAATCACCTACAACCAAATTCCATCAATATACATTAATTTAAAACCTAGGGTTTTCAATTTGGGGCTTTTTAATTCAAAACTAAATCTGAAAATTAATATACAAAATAATTATCATCAAACATCATAAAACCATCACAAAACCCAAAACCACTAATTAGATTTAGGGTAGATTTAATTAAAAATAAAAAGAATAAAGTTTTTTTTTGTTCGAAGGGTGCGCACGAACCACCATGAATGGGCGGCTGCCGCGCGCTCGCCTGGTGGCCGCTGTTGCTGGCGTGCGCTGGTGGTGGTAGCCGCCGGCCAGTGGTGGCGTGTGGTGGTGGACGGCCGGTGTGTGGTGGTGTGTGTGGGTGGTGATTGAAACAATAATAAAATAAAATAAAGGGAAGGGGAAAAATTAAGGGGAAAAGAAAATAAGAGGAGAGAAAGAATTTACCTTTGGGTGCACTCCACCTTAGGATATGATGGGTATTTATAACCTCTCTCAATACCCTCCTACTTAAAATTCCTTTACTACCCTTAATAATCTCTTTCCTAATCAAACTAGTATTTTGACTTTCTTTAAAAAAAAACTTTGACTTTAAAAGTTATCTTTTATAAAATAATATGCCCTAATATTTCCAAACCATGAAATAAAATATCTTCAAGATTATTAAATATAATAAAAATACAATTTTAATTAAAATCATTCTTTTTAAATTAATGAAAAACCCTAAATAATTCATTTTGAATTACTTAAATACTTTAAGAAATACTTATTTAAATTAAAATACGTATAAAAATACCGATTATTACACTAAACCACCAAACCATTACAGAAATCAAGGCGTGGGAAGGGGAGGGGGCCGAAATCGGGGCGTGGGGAAGGGTAAGGGTCGAAAAAGGGACAGGGGAAGGAGTTAAAAGGGTGGAAGTAAGGTTATCTCTCTCAAGCTAAGTAGGTCGGGAGATTCTTATGAAGTCTGTTGCCCATCCTATTCTGACATATATATATATGAAGTGCAAGTGTTTAAAATTCCTTGTAGTATTCTTAATTAGGTCCAGAGAATGTACAAAAATTTCTTTTGGGGATAACAATATAATGAGAGTAAGTTGGCTTGGGTGGCTTAAGATAGGTTGTTGTTTTAGAAAATTGATGGGGGATTGGGAATGTGTGATGACTTACAAGTCTTTAAAGCCATGTTGGCCAAGCAAGCTTGGTGTCTACTGACCAATTCTCACTCGTTGATGGCTAGAACATTAAAGCAGAAATACTTCCCAAATGTCGATGGAAGCTAAATTAAATCCCAACGCTAACTTTACTTGGAGGTCTATTTTGTCGGTTAGAGAGATGATTGCAAGAGGAGGTCAGGAACTTATTGGGAATGGTTGATATATTATTGGATCAATATTATGGAGATAATAAGTTCATTCTTTTGGGTTGTCATTGTCTGTTGCTAGACGTAATTAATGATCTTTGGGCTAGTCAAATAATCCAAAACCTAATAGAATGGATTCTGTGAGGTCACACTATGTGGTGATGGATTGAATAAAAAAAAAGGTCCATCAGTAGGCCTCATAAGGAGTGGCTGGCCATATGAGAAATAAGAGGGAGTAGTTTGGGCTTGGTTAGGACCTTAATTATACATGTGATGTATAGATAGAGGTCTTGCTTAGGTTTGAAATACAACACAGTTAGTAGTCAACTGAGAATCGACAAGCAAGCAATCAAACCCTAGCCTCACGCAAACACTCTATTCTCTCCCCTCCTCATGTTCGTACGCCCGTACGGCCACCCGCACGGTGGTGGTGCAAGGTGGTGATCGTGGTCAATTTTCTCCTCCCCTCTCCGTAGAAGGTGGATCGAAGGTGTTCGTTCCCAAATAACTAGCATTAGGGGAGGTTCGATCCTAGCCCGTGGACTAAATAGAGGAATCGCGCTTGAGGTTCTATTTTTCTAGAGTTCGTGGTCGATCGCACGTGGAATCACGCATCAAAGGTATAATTAAGTGTTTCTTTGTGTGTTATGCTTGTAGATCCTATTTAGGTGCGAACGAATATGATTCGTGAAATTCGCAATATAGTACCTAAATCCCTACAATGTTGCTCCCAACTCTCCCTAATTTCCAGTCTTTCATTAGCCCCTTAGTCTCGAATTCTAGCCCAAAAACTATAGATAGTTTGTGATGGAGTTTGGAACTCTGACTTGCTTAAGGAATCTTTTTCTCCCTGGGAAGCATCTGAGATTAAAAAGACTCCCCTGCCTTTGTTTGGTGA